GGCCGCGGACTCTATTGCAATAGTGTTAGAAGTGGGGCAAGTATGTTATCATTATGTTAGAATGTGGTACGAATTCTGTTATAATATTGATAATAGCGTTAGGATTCGGCACGACTGGCCCAGCGCATGGTGGCACAGGGCGACGCTGGGTAGGCGCGGGGGGGCGCGGGCCGATGCAGGGCGTGGGGCGCGGGCCGATTCAGAGTCGTGCGACGACGCGTGGATCTCTCTTGGTCCTTTGGGTACTTTTGGCGATTTTGGTCCTCTCTGGACCTTTTCGTCCTTCTGGGTTCTTTTTAGGCCCATTTGGATTTTTAGTCGTTTCGGTTTCTTCGGTCCTTCTGCTCCTTTTGGTCTTTCTGGTCCTTTATCGTCCTTTTGGTCCTTCTATGCCTTTTGGTCCTTTTGGTCGCTCTGGCCTTTTGGCCAGTCACCTCTGGCATTTGTTGGTCCATTTTTTTTTCTGTTTTGCCAGTCCTTTCTGGTAATGAAATCCTTTTGGTTCTTTCTGGTCCCACGGGTCTTTTTGGTCAGTTCAGTTTGGTTTCCTTGGCTCTTGTGGTCCTTCCTGGTTCTTCTGGTCGATCCAGGCCCTTTCTGGTCATTCTGGCCCTTTTGCTAGGCGCTTTTTTTGTGGCCCTGTTCGTTCTTCGCCGCCAGAGGTGGAACATCCCCCGATCAGAGCGCGCCTCTGTAGGGGTCCTAGCGGATTCATGGTTAGGTGAGGTTCGCCGCCGATTTCCGTGGCCGGCCCAGGTGCTTGGGCGCCCGCGTGCCCGGGGCGCCCGGGCGCCTGGGTGCCTGGGTGCCCGGGGGTGCCCGGGGATGCCCGGGGGTGCCCGGAGGTGCCCGGGGGTGCGTGGTAGCCCAATAGCCCTATAGCCCTATAGCACTCATAGCCCAATTGCCCCATAGCCCTATAGCACCACAGCCCTATAGTTTTATAGCCCTACAGCCGTATAGCCCGATAGCCTCATAGCCCTATAGCCTTGCAGCCCTATAGCCATATAGCCCTATAGCCCTATTGCCCTAATGGCCCTACAGTCATGCTGTAGTCCAGTATCCTTATAGCCTCATAGCCCTATAGCCTCGTAGCCTTAAGCCCTATAGCCCTACAGCCCAAGAGCCTCGTTGCCCTACAGCCCGATAGCCTTATAGCTCTCACGGCCCTGCGGCTCTATAGCCCATATCCCTATAGCCCGATGGCCGCGTCGCCCCATGGCGTTATAGCCCTGCAGCCCTATAGCCCTATGGCCCCGTAGCCCTAGATCTTGAAGAAGATTTGGATTTGGGTTTTTCTCCAGTAGCATGTGCATTCGTTCCGGCGCGCTCCACGGAGCGCGGCGATTTTTGTCTCGGCGTTTTTGTCGCGCTTCGCCGCTTCGCGTTTCGCCGGCTTCTCTGTTCCCGGCCCGCAGCCATTGCCGTGCAATTTTCTTCTCGCCGATCAGTTCGCTGCGCATTTATTGGCCGCGCGTCCTTGCGCCTGTCCGCGCGAACAGAGAACGTTCGCGCCCCGCGCGAGAGGCGCCCCGCGCCTTGGCCGAGAGGGCCCGAGGCCCCCCGGCGACGGCCGCTCGCGATTTGCATTCTGGCTCGTCGCGCTTCGCGGCATCGACCTCCGCGTGTAGTCTAAACCGTTCAGCGCGCCCCGCGCGTCGAAGCGCGGGCGCCGCGAACCGTCCAGCGCGCTTCGCGCGCAGAAGTGCAAATTGATCGCGAGCCGCGCGGCGCGCTTCTCGCGCCCACTTGCAGCGCTCTCAGGGCAATTTGGCGCGCTTCGCTCGCCCGAAGTGCGATTCCCCTTATCATTTTTGCGCGCCTCGTGCTCCGAGCGGTGACTATCGCGAACCGGTTGGCCGCTTCTCATGCGCCGAGCTGCGTCGCTGGCAAACTGTTTAGCACGCTTCGCGCGCCGCGCGCCTAGAAGCGCAGCGCACCTACCCCGCGCGCGCGAACCCATCGGGCAACGAGACAACGCGCGCGCTGGCGCGAGCTCGTCGGAACGCAGAAAAACCGACGCGCAGGCGCGAGCCCATCGGCGACATAGCACCGGGCGCATCGGGGCGAGCCCGTTGGAGCACAGAGCAGAACAACAAACGCGCAGGCGCAAACCCATCGGAACACATATCAAAACAACTCGCAGGCGCGAGCCCATCGGAACGCGGGAACAACCGTCGGAACACAGGGCCACCAACTCACAGGTGCGAGCCCATCGACTTGTCGCGCTTCCATCATTTGGTTCAGCGCACGATGCGCGCGCGCGGGCGGTGAGGTGAGTTCCGTGGCGCCCGCGACCAGGGCGGTCGCCGCTGTGGCATGGGAATCTGAATTTGCCAACAGCGGCGGCCAATTGGCTGTCCGAGATCACGCGACATGCGCGTGAGAAGGATGAGTACTTGGCCGCAGTTACTCCTGCAGGCTCGGAAACATTTCTCCTTGCGCAAGAGCGACCGAAAGACGGGCAAAACCTTCCGCGCCCAGCCCCGCCCGCTTCAGTAGGCGCGTTGCCCAGACACGCCCCCCCCGCCCCCCCCCGCAAAATTCTCAGCGGGCTCGGGCCGGGGGGTGGCGGGGGTTGATCCACTCCTTCATGTAGAATTTTTTATATTGTACAGTTGTTCGAGAGTTCGGACCTTTTTATTTTCCCGGCTCGTCGCCATTCCCCGGGCTCTGGCTTCCCATCCTCGTCGTCGTCCCCCTGCCCCCCATCCCCTGACCTCCGCGCCCCAGCCCGGACCTCTGGCTCCTGGTCCGAGCCCCAGTCCGCCTGCCCTGGCCCTGAACTCAGCCCCCCTCCTTGGCTCTGGCGCCCCCTGGCCCTGGCCCCAGCCCCCCTCGCCCCGACCTTTTTATTTTCGCGGTTCGTCGTCGTCCCCGTGGCTCTGGCCTGCTTCCCCTGGCCCCCTCGCCCCCGCCTTCCTGCCCTGGCCCTGCACCCAGCCTCCCCCCTTGGCTCTGGCGTCCCCTGGCTCTCGCCCCAGACCTTTATATTCGTGGTTCGTCGTCGCCCCCCTGGCTCTGGCCTGCTTCCCTTGGCCCCCTCGCCCCCGCCCTCCTGCCCTGGCCCTGAACCCAGCCCCCCTCCTTGGCTCCGGCGCCCCCTGGCCCTGGCCCCAGCACCCCTCGCCCCAGATCGCTCATGGTCGCGGTTTGTCGTCGTCCCCGTGGCACTGGCCTGCTTCCCTTGGCCACCTCGCCCGCGCCCTCTTGCCCTGGCCCTGAACCCAGCCTTCCTCCTTAGCTCTGGCGCCCCCCCCTCTTGTCCCAGACCTTTTATTATCTTGCGCAGTTGTGTTCGAGAGCTCGGACCTTTTTATTTTCCCTGTTCGTCACCATCCCCCTGGCTCTAGCCCCCCATCCTCATCGTCGCCCCCCCTGCTCCCCATCCCCTGGCCTACGCGCCCCAGCCTGGACCTCTGGCTCCTGGTCCGAGCCCCAGTCCGCCTGCCCTGGCCCTGAACTCAGCCCCCCTCCTTGGCTCTGGCGCCCCCTGGCCCTGGCCCCAGCCCCCCTCGCCCCGACCTTTTTATTTTCGCGGTTCGTCGTCGTCCCCGTGGCTCTGGCCTGCTTCCCCTGGCCCCCTCGCCCCCGCCTTCCTGCCCTGGCCCTGCACCCAGCCTCTCTCCTTGGTTCTGGCGCCCCCCCCATCGCCCCAAACTCTTTACTTTCGTGCTTCGTCGTCGCCCCCCTGGCTCTGGCCTGCTTCCCCTGGCCCCCTCGCCCCCGCCCTCCTGCCCTGGCCCTGAACCCAGCCTCCCTCCTTGGCTCTGGCGCCCCCTGGCCCTGGCCCCAGGCGAAAGGCCTAGGCCTGGACGGCACTTGTGATACGGCTGGTTCGGCATCAAGGAAGAATGGAAGTCTTGGTGGCTCATGAGGTCTGGCAGAGGTGGAAGAGGAGGAGGAGGAGAAAGAGGAGGAGGAGGAGGCGGAGGAGGAGGAGGAGGAGGAGGACGAGTAGGATGAGGGGGATGAGGAGGAAGATGAGGAGGAGGAGGAGAAGGAGGAGGAAGAGGAAGAGGAGGAGGAGGATGAGGAGGGGAAGGAGGAGAAGTGAAGATGAGGAGGAGGAGGAAGAGGAGGAGGAGGAGGACCAGTGCAAACCCAAGAGCCATCAACGATGATGGAATTAACCCTCCCTCCAAGCTCCCTCTTCATAGTCCCCATACAACGGTTCATTTCCATTGAGGGAACTGCCCCGTTGGAAGACAACCGTTTGAAGACCTTGAGGCATGCCAAAACATGGTTCTCGAGATTTCCACGCCACGGATCAACCTGGCTGTTGCGTCCTGACGATCTGGGCTCGTTCCAGAACGCAATCTCTGGGACTTCCATCACCGCGAATCAATATAGCTGTTGACCTCATAATCCTGAATCCAACACACCAATTTTGCTACGTTGATCATCGGAATCAGTGACATCCATGCAAATGTTCAACAGGAATGTGCGCGGCGCTAGGGCGAGAGCCACATTTTGAAAAGGAACTGTCCTCAATCCGTTTTTTTTGCGAAACTTGAAAACGATAGTGCGCGGCGCTAGGGCGATAACCACATTTTGAAAACCACCCGCCCTCAATCTGCGAAACCCTTGCTAGTTTTGAAAACCAATGTGCGCGGCGCTTAGGCGAGACAAAAACCACCCGCCCTCAATCCGTGAAACTCTTGCAAATGTCGAAAGCGAATGTGCGCGGCGCTAAGGCGAGAACCACATTTTGAAAACCACCCGCCCTCAGTACGGGAAGCTCTTGCAAATGTTTAAAACGAATGTGCGCGGCGCTAGGGCGAGAGCCACATTTTGAAAACGGCCCGCCCTCCATCTGTGAGGCATGAACTGTGAGGAAGTCTCAGGCGAAACGCCCGGCCCGCCCTAAAAACTGGCCTCGGGGTGCGACAGGGAGAAGTTATCTATAAGTAAGTAAAAGGAATGGAGGAGGACGGGCAAGGGACTAGGTGGTCAGTTGGTCTGGCGGAGGAGTAGGACGAGGATTCCTAGTTGGCCAGGTGGTCTGGCTCAGCGCATCTGCCGAGCAGGTCCCGAGAGACATGATGGCGCAGCCGGTCACTGTTCCAGTTGAGCTGGACGGAGACGCCGCTGATGCGACACAGGATGGATGGATGGATGGAGGGGAAGAGAGGGTGGGTGAGAGGACGCCGGGAAAGAGGAGGAGGAGGAGGAGGCAGAGGAGGATGATGAGGAGGAGGAGGAGGAGGAGGAGGAGGAGGAGGAGGATACGGAGGATACGGAGGAGGAGGAGGAGGAGGAGGAGGAGGAGGAGGAACGGGGGAGGGAGGGAAGGATGGTTTGGGGAGGGAGGGGACTGAGGGGGACGGGTGGGGGAGCAGGGACTGGACCTTTGATTGTGACGGGTCAGAGACATGCGCAGGCTTTGAGGGGGACGAGGGGTCGGCGGCGGCGGCAGGGCGCAAGAGGCCACAGAGCCTCGCCGTGCCACACCGACCGTCGGTGCTCCGCCGACTCCCGTGCATTCTTCCGCCCTGGCCCGCGCGGCGCCCAACGGCCCCCTGGGGAACGGGTCCGTGGCGAAGGCATGGCGCGAGAGGCCACGTGCGCTCCGCCGCGCCCCGCTGCCCGGCCCCGGCCCACGTGGCCTGGGCCTCCCCGCTCGCGCTCGGCCGCTCGGGCTTGGCCGCCGCGGTGGCCGAGCATAGGTCAGAGGAGGAACAGGTACCGATGCCGCTGCTCGTCCTGGAGGGCCTTCGCTGCCACGTCTGAAGTATCCTCAGAATCTTAGTCCGAACGCCCCCCGGGAGAGGTCTGGGGAGCAGCGGCATCAGTATCTTGCGGCACTCCCTCCATTGGCGTAAGCGTTCGGAGTTCCGCTCGGATTTCTTGAGTCGGCGCTGGGCCCCCCTCCCCTGGCGCGCGGAGCGCGCCAAGGGCGGCGCCAGAGGCGCTGCCAGCCGGTCCATCGACGACCCACGTAATCCGCTCGGAGCTCCGAAAGTTTGTTCTTGTGCTGTTTTTTCTTCCTCCAGCTTCGGTGGGCTTGCACGCGAGCGGTACGCCAGTCGGGGCGTGGGGCGGGGCCGCTGCTTCTCTTCTTCTGCCTGTGGCGCCGCTCGCACCGCTCCACGACGCCCTCGTCGGGCGTCGCGCCCGCGACATCCACGAGGGGCTCCACCGCGGCCTTCGCCAGCCGCGCATCCTCAAGGGATGTCTCTCACACGGCCCCTGCGGCGAGGTGGTCACCTAGACCCGGCGAGCGCGGCCGTGTTCGCTGGGAGGACTTCGCGCCAGCACCAGCGCCGTGCCTCCACCTGGGGCGATCTGGGAAGGGCCTCGCCTTCGGCGCGCCTCGCCCTCGGCCGTCTGGAAGGTCAGCGGAAGGAACACGGTGGCGGGCTCAGTGTTGGAAGACAGCGGAAGGCCGGCGGACCCTGGCGGAAGCAAACACGAGACGTGAACAGTTTGGGATTCGGGGCTTTGGGGCGGGCCATTTGCACGCGCGCCTCTGCGCGCCGAGGGCCTCACTGTGACCGACGCCGTCGGGGCCCAAATTCCGCGGGGCGCCCTGTGGGTACTGCAGGCGGGGGTGCCCGCCCAACGAGCAAACGCGGCGGGATTGCGACCCGCAACCGCCTTGGGCAAGCTGCCCCAGGCCGCCAGCAGCGCAAACCCAGGGCACTGCGTGTGCTGAATGCGCCAGCTGCGCTTCGGCGTAGGAAGTACGAGGACGGCAAGTCGACAGGACTAGGCCGCCTCACCTTGCTCCCGCCTGTTGGCCGGTGCCGCGGCAAGGTGCCGCGGGAAGGTGCTGCGGTGGGTTCCCTGTTGCCCTGGGCGACTGGGCCTTGTGAGGGCGTGACAAACCAGGTCATAGGTTGGGGGCCTAGCCTCGAGGGTGACACCGCGCTGAATTGGTGGCTGGAAGACCCGCTCGCAGGGGAAGGATTCTCATTGATATCATGAGGATGAGGAGAGCACGGTGATGATGATGATGATGATGATGATGATGATGATGATGAGGAGGAGGAGGAGGAGGAGGAGGAGGAGGAGGAGGAGGAGGCGTGGGAGCAGGAGCAGGGGGATTATCAGTAGAAGTAGTCGTGGCAGTAGTGATAGTACTGGTCGTGGTGTCGGTTTTCTTGTGTATGGAAACGTTTAATGCAACACTTACTCATGTCGTCAGGATTCCGCCATGTAAAGGCCGCGACTTCCTGGCTGGGCAGGATCGGCGGCTGCCGCTGAACATGCAAAACGCACACGTGAGCTGCAAATACACTTGTTATACCTGCGGTCGTTGGTGCTTAGGCCGCGCTCCATGTCTTCGAACGGCAGATTTCAAGCGTTATGAATTGGGTTCGCAGTAGTTGTGTTCATCCACGGCTGGCATCTCGATCGGGCCCCCGTACAGCGTGGGGTCCGCATCTTTGCTGGCTGATTTCCGATCTCCAGGTATGACGTTGTGGGGCGAATGGCAGTGATCGCTTTTGGATGCAACCCTTTCGGTCGGGACGCTAATTGAATCGCCCGATATTTTGTTCTGGGAGTATTCAAGATACATCAGAGCAACAGTTGCACCCTTCCCATCGCTACGGTTTGCCCGTCTTGGCCTGGCTTTGCAGAAACGACGATGAGATCCGCAGTGATGGCTTTTCTGGGAAGATGCCCCATCAGTTTGAGTAGCGGCTGCACTTTGTAGCGTGACGATGTTTGCGCCCTGGCGTGGCTATGACGAAGCAGTGATGGAAACCACAAGGGGTGATAGGGTTGTATTTTTTGACGTTGAGAATGGCATGTTGGAACTCTCGCACAATCTTCTTCGCGAAAGTGACGCTAATCACAATGTTGAATACATGTAGCTAAGACACTACCCCACCTGACAGGTTTGGATTGCCAGATTTAACAACAGACCTCCCGACCCGCTCACCCTGCATACCGCGGCCGCCAGATCCGCAGGTTCACTGGTGATCCCGCGGAGATTATTTTGTGAACCGCCACATACCGCGTCCGCCAGACGCCCAGAATCCCCAGAATAACGCTGTAGTGTTGTCTGCGCATGCAAGTGCGGTGTCCGTCGTCAAGAAATTTAAATCGGGAGACTAACACGTTGCAAATATTCAAACCGTGCGCAAGGCAGCATTGGGCACGACGGGGGCGAGAGTTTTTAGCGACCTGCTGCGAACAGCAAACTGGAAAAACTACCCCGCCGCGGAGGAGGTGTTCTGCTACATGGTTGATGCATATCCGTGCGTTTTCCAGGATTCGTCTGAATATGTACCTGAGGGCTCTGGTTGCAAAAGAGGTTGTTTGCTTGTCACTTGCGAAAAACCGATTGCAACAACCGTGTCAGACAAGTGGTGTTTACTGGTTGGGGAGATGCCCTGGGACGTCCAGTTGAAATTGACAACGGCGCGCGCGCAAGCCATCGATGCGACGCGCGCGCGTGATGCTATCTTCCAGAGGCGGTGGCTCTCTTAACTGACCGCTTGCGAGAAGTGTAGCTGACATGACGCTTCAATGAACAAGTGACTCTCCAGCTGCCTCCGGCCATTCCGCCGCCGTGCAGCGCAGCATTCTGGGTTCGAGAAGGCAGGGGGGGGCTGCTGGAGGCCTCTTGGGGCAGAAGGCTCTAGTGCTTGGTTCGTGTCCCCATTCTTGGGCCCCTCCTCCTTGGGGCCATCTTGGGGCCCTCTTGGGCAGTCTTGGGTGCCTCTTTGGCCGTCTTGGAGCAATCCTGGTGGGCCGTCTTGGAGCTCTCCTGGGGGCCTCTTGAGGCTTCTCGGGGTAGTCTCGGGGTCCTTTGGGGCCGTCCTGGAGCGTCGAGAGCTTGAAAATTCGAGAGCCCACATAATAAGCAAAACGTTGTGGATAAGTTGTTTGCCTCTCAGGGCCATCTAGGGAGCCTCATGGGGGCCTCTTAGGGGCTTCTTGGGAAATCCTTTTGGCACTGTTGAGGCCTCCTGGGCCCTCGTGGGGCGGAAGGCTAGAATTATCGGCTCGCTCCCACCCATTTAGGGCCTTCTTGGAGCCGTCTTGCGGCTTCCTTGAGCGTTCTTGGGCGCCTCTTAGGCCGTTCGGGAGCCTTTGTGCGCCGTTTCGGGGCCTTCTTGTGGGCCTTTTGGGCCGTCCTGGGGCACCCCAGTAGGCCTTTTCGGTCGACTTGGGATAAATGCAAGATCCCGAAACGAATAGAACAACGAACGAAGATTCAATGCATGTTGCATGTCGAGGCCCTTTTGGGAAGGCCCCAGAGGGCCTCTAGGAGTGCCTCGAAGGCCTCGCGGGCCACCCTGAAGCCATAGTGGGCCGTCTTCAGGCCAATGTGGTTTGTCTCGGAGCAGATTGGGCCGTCTTGGAGGCGCCTGGGCCTCGCAGGCGCGATTCTGCGGCCTCGGAGAGAGGGGGCGATTCTGCGGTCTCGGGCAGCTGGGCGCTTCCCGAGAAGGTGCCCCCCCTTAGGAAATTACAATCCTATCAGCACTTGTCATTCTAGCGCGCTTCAACATGCCGGTGGGCGTGGTGGCGGACCGTATACTAGGACAGCACCGAGCATGTTCCTAATACTGTATCCTGCAATCGTGGTGTGAGCACCCCATGACTACGCAGCATGCGCTCCACATTCACCCCCTGGCAAATTTCTGGCGTTGCGACGTCTCGCTGGCCTCGCAATGCTCGAAACGCATCAAGCGCGGTTTCTGTCGAGATCGCCCGAAGCAAAATCATGTTCCCCCTGCCCGACAGGGCGGGGCTGCTAAGCTTGTTTAATGACCCCCCACACGCCTGCCCTGCATGCCGCGGCCGCGAGATCCCCAGGTTCACAGGTGGTCCCGCGGGGATCCTTCTGCGGGCCGCTACGTGCCGCGGCCGCCAGATCCCTGGGGCCGCCAGCGGTCCCGCGGGGATCCTTTGGTTGGCCGCCACGCGCCGGGGACATAGTGTATACGAGAGCATAGTGGAACATGGTGGCCATTATTTTGATATAATTGCTTATTCGATTACTACATGGGAACAGAGCGGAACAGAAACATGTGGGACTATAACGTACCATAACAGAGAGTCTGATAAAGGAGGCGATGCCATAATATTGTACGTTGTGCGGTAGTCGTATAGAAATTAGATAGAGCAGAACATA